ATATAAATAACTTAGATATATAGATAAAAATTTTTAAATTTAAATTACATGATATACAGATAAAATAAAATAATAAACAAAAATTACTTCCCGTTTCGTAATTAAAGATTAAAAAAATATATATCATTAATCATACAACGAACGAAACAATGAGCATGGGTGCATGCACGCCGCACTTGCAGCATTACCTGTACTGACGGTACACTTGGAGGGTTTGAAACTTTGAATCCTTGAAATGTATAATGTGAACGGATGTCACTATATTAGGAATCTTCTCGTCTCATCTCGATGCCCAATCAGATTTGTGAGTGGGCAACCTTTCAAGAATTGCAATTTCTCCCATAACTCGCGGAGCCTCACGACGAGATTCCTGTCATGCGGACAGACGTAAATTTTTCTTTATATAACATGTTGTGGGAATCTTCTCATTTTTTAAAAAATAAAAAATTATTATATAATTTAAATGATATCAAATTATAAAATATAAATTATTGAATAAATAAGATAAAAAAATAAAATGATTATAGTTACATATGTCATAATAATTTTTAAACAAGAATGAAAAATTAAATTCTATCTTTTAATTTGAGCTGTATCTTATAAATCGAACTATAATTATTGGATCATGCTCCAGGTCCAGAATAGTTGATATTTTTACTATGCTGAGCATCGACAACCCCCGATGTTGACCTCGCCATAACACCTTGACGGATTAGTGAATCCATCTCAAATAATCGAACACGTTAGCAAGAGATTGCAATTTTTTTCACAAAAATAAATCAATTCTTTCTCTAAAACAAAAGTATACAATTGCAACCAATCATTTTGTATTTCTCTATTCACCACTCACCTGACTATATATTTATGATTTGAACTTATAATTTCTGATTTTTATCAAAAATAAATTGATCTACTAAAAGTTTTGAATTTATCTTAATTAAGTTTAATCAAGTTTAGGATTATTTGTAAAATCAAAAAAAAAAAAAGTTTAGGATTATTTGTGAAAATAACATTGAATGAGTGAGCTTGAGGTCTAACATATCAAGCTCAATTGCTTTCTAAGTTCAAGCTCAAGCTTAGAAAATGTAGTTCAAGTTCAAGCTTAGAAAATGTTGATTGAATCGAGTTCAAACACATGATTAGAGAAGAATTGCCTGTAGCAGTGTCTTAACTAGGAAAAACATGCTACTTACATCATATTATATAAATAATAATTAAAACATTTTTTTGCTTAAATAAAAGTGTCTAATAAAAATTAAATATAAAAAAATTAATTTTATTCATAGAAATTATTAAATTTTTATCTTAAATGTATATTTAATAGTTAAAAAATCAAATTAAAACTACTTAATTTAAATAAAAGAAATAAAAAATTTAAAATTAAAGGTTTTAGGTAGGCAAAAACTAATTTTAAGCTCCTAAACTTTCTCTCTTTTCTCACATTAACCCTTAAAAAAAAAAAGTAGCGTGTAAGCCTCTAAACATCTAAATTTGAGCAAATCAACCCTTGTATTACTGATAAAATCATGTGCGATCATATAAATTAAACTTTTTTTTTTGTTGTTTTTTACTTGCATGGCAATTTCTTTACATTCATTTAGCTCTTAATTTTGAGTTATATGCTATTTGTATTTAAGCAGATTTCTTTACATTTCTGTAGCTCCTAAAAATAATTATTCATTTAGCTCCTAAAAATAATTATATAAACAGATTGAACGAATGTCACTACCCATAAAACGTGCCATGTTGTCGTGTTGACGGAAAACAATTGGAGGCCGAATGTATCCTGTAACATCGGCCAGCTTGACTCATAAGTAAAATGATAATGACACAGTACCTCTACTGTTTCAATTAAAATGATTGCCATTTACTCTAAAATAAATTTCTTTGAGTACTGACATTATTGGGCAAAGGCTCCACGTGAAAACGTTATAGTAAAACAAATATTTAAATATTAATTTTTAAAATATTGAGTTTTTTAATTTAGTTATTGTTTACACCTAAAATAAACCAATAGGATAAGACCACGTGTTTAGGTAAAACCCAATTATCAAGAAAATCAATAGGTTGGATTTGGGCTGGGCTAGCTTACAATTTAACGGGGGAGACGGATTTCTAAGGAGAATGGATCTTAGGTGGCAGAAAATAAGATTGGATCTGGTAGTTTGAGTTTGATTTAAAATGAGAAATTGAGGATTTTTAAGTAGTTATTTTTAAGGTTGTTGGAGATAAGGTTAAATAAAAATCAGATGACTATTAAATAACTATCAGACCTACAATCCCATTACCAGATCATGGAGGAATTGTGCCGAAAATCGAGGAACAGTACCTAAGATCATGGAGGAAGTTCCCAGCACCGAAGAAAATAAAAACAGAGAGAAGAGAACAGTTCTAGGCCTGCCAACACACACACAGACTGCCCAGAGCATGTTTTTCAGCTTTCAAACTGCATTTTCCAGATTTCAGCAATAGTTTCCATATTTTCCAGATTTTCCAAATTAGTTTATAACCTTAGCCTAGGTTTGTCCATCTTTGTTCATATTTTCTCCCGCAAATTCCAATTTAGATTAGTTTTTAAACATTTGGAAGCAACTTAGCCTTCAAAACAGGTTTGCTCTTTTGATTCAGTTAGTTCTTTTTCCTTTTATGGATTTAGTTATGTTATTCGTTCATGTAAATAGGATGAATGTTTTTTACCTTTGTTCTTTTGTTTCTGCACAATATCCAGACATGCAATTTGTTTATTTCAATTTCCAGATTTAAATTTATAAGTTTCCAGACTTTGATTATTTTATAGTTTCTTCTTTAGTTTTAGTTATCATTATGGGCTACGTAGTTAAAATCATTGTCTGTTATTTTACTTTTTCTGTTGTCTGCGAATTTAATCTTTATGGCATGTTATTTTTTGTTATTTACTTCATATTAGTTTAATTGCCTTAGGATATTGTATTTTATTTAGGATTTGTAACTTTTATTACACTTGTTTGGTTGTGAAGTTCTTGGAGGTTTCCAAGACAATTAGTAACTCATTTTGCAGAACTCTACCCTCTGTTTTGCAACATCGTCTGGGGCACAATTCATTTCACAGACGTTCTTTCCAACCATCCTATTGGAGGTCGACCGCTGGAAAAGAGAAGGGTCGTCTGAAAAATCTTATTTTCTTGTTTTTAGACAAAGCAAGTGGCACGCCTAATAACCAAACTTACGTGGTAAAGGCCAGTTAAGGATTTTTGGGGAAACAGTTATTTAAAATAATTAATAATTATAATTATTAGTTAATAGAGTAAATGATAAACAATTATTGTTTATTACTTACTTTTTATTTTAAAATAATTGTTTTTTTTTAATTTTAAATTTATTTTAAACTAATTGTTATTTTTTATTTTTTAAAAGAAATAAATATTTTTTCTCTAGTTTGACATTATTATTATTTATTTGTTTTAATTAATTATTATATCACAAAAAAATTTATTTTATCTTTTAAGTTTATTTTTGAACCGGGGGAAATTGAGGCATTGGGGAGGGGGAAAAGAAATACAAGGGAATTGAATCTTGATAGTGTGGATAAAATATTCATATAATGATCGTATAAATCATTGGTTATAGTTTTATCTATTAGTTTTTTTATTAAAAATAATATAAATAAATACACAAATGATCTTTAAATCTTTAAATCTTTAATGTAAAAAAAAATAAAAAAAAAAACTGATAATTATTATAAAACAAAAAGAATAAGAAGTTAAAATTAATATATATTAATATTTTTAAATATTATAATAACTATTTATAAAAAAATATATCAAAATATGTTTGAGGTAGAGTGGGGGCCACCATCACACCCAACAATGTCATTTTTCTAAGATATCTTCTCCTCTTCTTCATCTTCTTCTTTTTCTTTTTTTTTTTTCAAACGAAAAAGTGGATGAATTGATGTCCATCTCTTCTCATCCATATCCAGATTAGAAGAAAAGGAAATTAATGAGGATAACAGCCATGCACAACCATTACCCAAAAATATGCTTTTCCACTTTGTCCTATCGAGAGATGCCCTCTTCAATTGGACTCTTGGAGAACCTCCCACCATTTCATATTTTTTTCAATTTTAAGTTTTACACAAGTAGAGATAAAACTATTTATTACTCGTACGTTTAATTTTATTGTAGTAGGTTTAGTTTTTAATTTGGGGCATTTAAATTTTATTGTCTTTTTTTCTCTTGAATTTTATTTAATGTATTTTTTCATATTTAACCTTTATTTGAAAAAATGTAATTATAATATGTATTAATAAAACATTTTATTTAAATAGTAATTAATACAAATAAAAATAAAGTTTTATTAATTAATTATTACATTATAAATTTACTAAATAAAAAAATTAAAATTACTAAAGTTGAATAAAGAAAATATATTTCTTTACCTACCTTATTTGTATTCTTATAATTTAAATTCAATATTTTTTTGCTTTTGCTAAAAAAAATTACAATTGAACTCCTGTAGCTAACATTTCATCATTTCCAATCACATTTCTTTTAGTAATATTTTTTTTCTTACTTTTGCACTAACAGCCTAAGTTGATAATGTGCAACGAAAATCTTAAACCATTTAAGTCCTCATAAAAACAGCTATATTCATATTTGTCCCATCTTCAAAATTTTTCCTTGTTTAAAAAAATTAGTTAATTAATTAATTTTTTTTTTTTTTTTTTTACTTTTATAAGACGTTATATCATTCTATAATAATCAAGGAAGGTACGATAAATTATAAATTAAAGAAATAGCAAGCTAAAGAGAAAGTAAGAAAGAAAGTCAGAGCGATCGAGCTTGCTTAGGGTTCTGCCATCACATTTAAGAAACCAACCACCCGTGGAGGGATGTTGTTTTCCTATTAATAAAACTTCCTTGTCGTAAATTTAAGGCTCGCCTCCTCTAAACTTTTGTAAAATATTAAAGAATTTTTTT